GTAGACATGTGGGGGCGTGTTAGAACGAGGCGTTTTAGGTAGATGTGGCTGACTCTTAACTTTTATAAAGAATATCTCTTTGGATTTGAGACTTTAGTCTTTGCAACTTTACAGATCTTCTTTATGCACCAAGAGCTTGTAACACTCCAAAGAGAAAGGAAAAATTGAAATCGCATCATATGACCCCTTTAAGGCAACACATCATGACAGCGCTGACACACAACAAATTAGTGACAGACACTTCATGACAAAAAAGCCTAGTAAATGTCCTCACTTACGTTATTTGCGGCTTCCATCGTGATGTGAATAATAGCAAGTTAGTTTATCAGCATATTTTTTTTTTTTCCGAGAGATCCCCACAGCGGACAGAACTTGTCATAAAGTTAGTGATAACAAGGCCCCCCCATTTAGAGGAAAGATATGATTGGTAAATTTTTCTGTCATTCGAAATTACTCCCCCATTGATTTACTATTGCTTGGCCCTCTGTAATTGCATAGCTAGACCACGAATTACAGAGCCGCAAACTCTAGGCGGAAACATTAAAATATGAAGAAAATGGGCGGTGTCGATAAGTCCATTCACTGAATACGCAGATTTGAAGAGGTTTTTTTTTTTCACAGAAGTTGTATTTATTTTATTTAGATGATGTTTGTCAAATTATGAATTGCTTAAATAAAATTAGTAATAATTATATTTGTATTAAAAATTATATTTTAAAACATTTATTTAAACATTTTAAATATTGTTTTTACAATAAGTTAGGCCCTCTCTGAGGGCCCTGACGGTTCCCCACTGCAATCTACATATAAAATATACTAAAGTCCCACTTAAGTGGTTTTAAAAAATCACTCAGAAGTTCAACTTATTGCATTTAATATAACTTTAAATTGTGATACATTTGAAATTAATTGCAAATACAATGTACTTAAGCTGCGAAAACATTACATTTAATTTGCCCTTAAGTGTGTTCTTAGAAGTATATTATTTCCGCAATAAGTACACTTTATAAAAGTATACTTAAGTGCACTTCTTTTTCACAAGGGGTGATTTGCATCATTCACTGCATTTATTTCAAGTTATTTGTGTGTTATCCGTGCACGGGTGGTGCATGCTGATAAGACTGTGGGTTATGGTCCAATAACTCTTGCTTCTTTCTCTCCCCACAGGCTTGGTGAACCTGTATTTTAGAGGGTTTTTTTATTTTATTTTAATATCCTAGCTTTCCAAAATAGAGTTTTAAGATTTTGGAATGAACAACATTTTTACTTTGATCCAATTTATTATTGATGGACGCTTTATTAATCAACAATATTTGGACTTGAAGAACACATCTCTGTTCCTTTTGTTATTGGCTGTTGAACTTGTGTTGCTGTAAATTTTCCGTAGTTGTGAGTCAACCTTGGTTACACTTAGACTAACAATGGGTTCGTAAATGAGTAGCCTATCCTACACAGATTGATTAACAGCTAGTTAGAGATTAATCTTTGTATTTTAATTTGGTTGGCAGAGGAAAAGAGGATAAGAATGATCAATAAAATATTTCTGGTAAATTCTGTCGAATGTTTTCCTCCAGTTAAACATTTCCTAAATAATGGGAATATATATCTCACTAAAGAAACCCAGTGGGCATCAGAAGGCTTACACACCGAGGGCACACAGAAACTACAGGTGAGCAAATACTTTATGAACATGCAAATAGTCACCAAAAATTATGAACTACTTAGACCTTAACAACAATACTGCAGTGCAGATTCAAAAAATCATTATAAGAAACAAAATATCTTCAGACAAATCAAATGCAAATACAAAAGGAGATAATTTAGAATTTGAAAATATTACAGGGTTCACTGAAGAAAAGATTTACTTCTTTTAGTACCTATTGGATTTTTTAAAAACCACTGAAGTAGATCATAATAATACATATTTTAAAGGGATTTTAAATCATCGTGAGAAGTAATAAAATGAGCAGTTGCGTGGTATCTTAAAATAAATGCATGAAAGTAAATAAATAAAAGTTCAGCATTTTACATGTACTGTGCCTGCTAACCTGTTACTTATATTTCAATTTAAAAACTCCCCTTAGGAATTACAAAATAACAAAGTTGACAATTCATTTTTTTTCCCGTTTCTTTATTAGATTTATTAGAGCAATGGAATCAAAGGCATTTGAAGTCGCAGCCCTAGGAAGACCTCTGTTTCCCGGTATGCTGTATGACTGCCGCACGGATTCCTTCATACCAGGTGCTGTCTTCCTTTGTTTAATGGTTTTTATTTATTTATTTATTTTCACCCAACTGCTAATTTACAGTACTTCAGGGAAACGATTAGAGGTAGATGATGATGGAGCAATAGCCTGACATATAGTGCAACTGTGCCTCCTGAATTCAGGTCTTGGCTCAAGGTCCTTTGCCAATCCTGTTCCCCTCTCTCTCTGCCCTGCTGTTTCCTTTCTCACCTATACTGTCCTGTCTAATAAAGGCCGAAAATATAACCTAAATATAGTGTGCAAAATCTGTGGCCAATATATTGTTTAGGCCTACTATATAATTTTTCATTATTATTGTGGTCTCAAGCACATCCGCAGAGTATCAAGTGCCATTGTTTTGAGGCTTGTTTTAATTGTGATCATCTGTAATGATATGCTGTTTTAAATGTTCTGTTTATGTGGTATGAATTAATTAGTGAAAACACATGGGTGCATTGTGCATAGATCTTTAAATAATCCTCAAAAAGTGACATGAGAGGTTAACTAGGCTAACAACACTGACTATATGTCGTGTCTTATCTTCAAGTAATCCTTACAACTATGACATGTTAACTTACACTCTTAAAAATAAAGGTGCTTCACGATGCCATAGAAGAACCTTTTTGTCTAAACGGTTCCATAAAGAACCTTTAACATCTGAAGAACCTTGCTGTTTCACAAAAGCTTCTTTGTGGCGAAAGAAGGTTCTTCAGATTACAAAAAGATAAGAAAGAGATGCTTCTTTAAAGAACCTTTGACTGAATGGTTCTTCTATGGCATCGCTTGAAGAACCTTCTGAAGCACCTTTATTTTTAAGAGTGTAGCTAAAACATGTTGAACCACTGATTTTGAACAAACACTGAACAAACAAATACTTGTTATAGCTAACATGATTTTTATATTAATTAAAACCTTTCTGATGATATGACAATTCACTAGGTATACCTAAACTCTGATGTTTTTACCTGTTCCTATTTAGGGGTCCATCTGGTAACACTTTAGACTACTGTTCCATCATTAATTAATAACTACACAGAAACAATTGAGTAACACTATATTAACATTCTAGCAACTAAGCTGCTATTAGGAAACATTTATTAAAGAATTAGAAAGTATTAGCACTAAATGAGGTAGTTACCTAGATAATCAGTAACTACTTTTTTCCAATACTTCCTGGAAGACAACTAAGAACTACCATATACTGGCTCTTATTTCATGTGAACAACGCATGGTAACCCAATAATATTGACTCAAGTAATTCAGAAGGAATTACTAATTATTTAGAACATCTAACTGGGCTTATTTCCATGTTTGGTATAAGTAACATAGGGTGGTAATAGACAAGAAACCCACAGTTTTATATGATCCTGCAGCTTACTATCCATCTAAAATTAACTGTACTGTAAACTACACTAAAGTGCTACTTACATGTTCCAGTGATTTTAAATAGGACAATAAATATAACCACATTTAAAGTCCATGTAAAGCAATAATAAATATGTTTTGAGCTTGTTACACCACGGAAAAATGTGTTATT